AGAAATCACAACTGACACTGCAGAAATACAAAGGATTATAAGAGACTACTACAAACAACTATATGCCAATAAAATGGACCACCTCGAAGAAATGGACAAATTCTTGGAAAGCTACAATTTTCCAAGACTGAACCAGGAAGAATTAGAAAATATAAACAGACTTATCACAAGTGATGAAATTGAAACTGTAATTAAAAATCTTCCAACAAACAAAAGTCAAGGACCAGATGGCTTCACAGGTGAATTCCATCAAACATTTGGAGAAGGGCTAACACTGATCTTTCTCAAACTCTTCCAAAAAATTGTAGAGGGAGAAACACTCCCGAATTCATTCTACGAAGCCACCATCACCCTGATGCCAAAACCAGAAAAAGATATCACAAAAAAAGAAAACTATAGACCAATATCACTGATTAACATAGATGCAAAAATCTTGAACAAAATACTAGCAAACAGAATCCAATAGCACTTAAAAGGATCATACACCATGATCAAGTGGGATTTATCCCAGGGATGCAAGGATCCTTCAATATACGCAAATCAATCAATGTGATACACCATATTAAGAAATTGAAGAATAAAAACCATATGATCATCTCAATCGATGCGGAAAAAGCTTTTGACAAAATTCAACACCCATTTATGATAAAAACTCTCCAGAAAGTGGGCATAGAGGGAACTTTCCTCAACATAATAAAGGCCATATATGACAAACCCACAGCAAACATCATTCTCAACGGTGAAAAACTGAAAGCCTTTCCTCTAAGATCAGGAACAAGACAAGGATGTCCACTCTCACCACTATTATTCAACATAGTTTTGGAAGTCCTAGCCACGGCAATCAGAGAAGAAAAAGAAATACAAATTGGAAAAGAAGAAGTAAAACTGTCACTATTTGCAGATGACATGATACTATACATAGAAAATGCCACCAGAAAACTACTAGAGCTAATCAATGAATTTGGTAAGGTTGCAGGATACAAAATTAATGCACAGAAATCTCTGGCATTCCTATACACCAACAATTAAAAATCAGAAAGAGAAATTAAGGAAATACTCCCATTTACCATCGCAACAAAAAGAATAAAATACCTAGGAATAAAGCTGCCTAAGGAGGCAAAAACCTGTACTCAGAAAACTATAAGCACTGATGAAAGAAATCAAAGATAACATAAACAGATGGAGAAATATACCATGATCTTGGATTGGAAGAATCGATATTGTGAAAATGATCATACTACCCAAAGCAATCTACAGATTCAATGCAATCCCTATCAAACTGCCAATGGCATTCTTCACAGAATTAGAACAAAAAAGCTTACAATTCGTATGGAAACATGGAAGACCCCAAATAGCCAAAGCAATCTTGAGAAAGAAAAACAGAGTTGGAGGAATCAGGTCCCCCAACTTCAAACTATACCACAAAGCTACAGTAATCAAGACAGTATGGTACTGGCACCGAAACAGAAATATAGGTAAATGGTACAGGATAGAAAGCCCAGAGATAAACCCATGCACATTTGGGCACCTAATTTACGACAAAGGAGACAAGAACATACAATGGAGAAAAGACAGTCTCTTCAATAAGTGGTGCTGGAAAAACTGGACAGCTACACGTAAAAGAATGAAATTAGAACACTGCCTAACACCATACAGAAAAATAAACTCCAAATGGATTAAAGATTTAAACGTAAGACCAGACAGTATAAAACTTTTAGAGGAAAACACAGGAAAAACACTCTTTGACATAAACCACAGCAAGATCTTTTTTGGCCTACCTTCTAGAGTAACAGAAATAAAAACAAAAATAAACAAATGGGACTTAAATAAACTTAAAAGTTTTTGCACAGCAAAGGAGACCATAAACAAGACAAAAAGGCAACTCTAAGAATGGGAGAAAGTATTTGCAAATGAGACAACAGACAGATTAATCTCCAAAATATACAAACCATATATCTTACATGGAGCTCAATATCAGGAAAACAAACAATCCAATTAAAAAATGGGTGGAAGACCTAAATAGACATTTCACCAAGGAAGACATACAGATGGCCAAGAGGCACATGAAAAGATGCTCAACATCACTAATTATTAGAGAACTACAATGAGGTATCACCTCACGCCAGTCAGAATGGCCATTATCAAAAAAGCTAGAAACAATAAATGCTGGAAATGGTGTAGTGAAAAGGGAACCCTGCTGCACTGTTGGTGGGAATGTAAATTGGTACAACCACTATGGAAAATAGTATGGATGTTCCTTAAAAAACTAAAAATAGAATTACCATACGACCCAGCAATCCCACTACTGGGCATATACTCTGAGAAAATCATAATTCAAAAAGAGACATGCACCACAATGTTCATTGCAGCACTATTTACAATAGCCAGGACATGGACCCAGCCTAAATGTCCATCGACAGATGAATGGATAAAGAAGATGTGGCTGCCACGGAGCGGCTGCGCCCGTGAGCCATGGCCGCTGAGCCTGCGCGTCCGGAGACTGTGCTCCGCAACGGGAGAGGCCACGGCAGTGAGAGGCCCGCGTACCGCAAAGAAAAAAAAAAAAAAGAAGATGTGGCACATGTATACAATGGAATATTAGTCATAATAAGAAACAAAATTGAGTTATTTGTAGTGAGGTGGATGGACATAGAGTCCGTCATACAGAGTGAAGTAAGTCAGAAAGAGAGAAACAAATACCATATGCTAACACATATATATGGAATCTAAAAAATAAAAGGTACTGATGAACCTAGCTGCAGGGCAGGACTAAAGATGTAGACATAGAGAATGGACTTGAGGACATGGGGTGGGAGGGCGAAGCTGGGGCGAAGTGAGAATAGCATTGACATATATACGCTACCGAATGTAAAATAGTTGGCTGGTGGGAAGCAGCCGCAGAGCACAGGGAGATCGGCTCGGTGCTTTGCGATGACCTAGAGGGGTGGGATAGGGAGGGTGGGAGGGAGGCTCAAGAGGGAGGGGATATGGGGACATGGGTACGCACATGGCTGATTCACTCTGGTGTACAACAGAAACTAACACAGTGTTGTGAAGCAGTTATAGTCCAATAAAGATCTCTTAAAAATGGTAGATATTAATAATCTTTCCAGTTTATTCCGTAGTTCTCCCTTTGGGCCACTTGCCTCTCAATTGTCATGGTCTCTTTTGTTTTGGCCTAACCCTTAAAGTGTAAGACCCCCAGATGTGTTCAAATTAGTCCACTGGATAATGATTGGATGGGATTTCAACTCTTGTCCAAGTTGTGGGGGGGGGCACTGAATTTCCTGAGCAGGCTCCCTTTGGTCGAATCGGGGAACTCAACGGTAGCAGAAACCCCATGTGTATTCTCCAAGGGAAGGGTTGCTGTCCCAGACCCACGACTGGTCTTCGATGTGTGCTTTAAAGTGACTGCAAAGTGAATGTGCAATGCACAGAAGACAAATTACACATAGTACCAGCATAGGAAAAGATGCTCAACCTCACGATGGTAAGGGAAACCCAAGGTTACACATCAATGAAGACTGATAGAATTTAAATGCAACTGATTTTCTCAGTTTTGGAGAGGGTGTCTGCAGCATGGATGAGAAGGTAAGTTGGTGCAACATTTTAAGAGACCAGTTTGGTAATTTCTGTCAACTCTTAAAGGTGCACACCCCATGACCCAGCAGTTCCTCTCCTAAGAACTTCTCTTTCAGGAAGTACCTGTACAAGTGCACAAGCATGTGTGTACAAGGAAGCTCACTCAACAGTATTTGAACTAGCAAAAATGGAAGACATTAACCAGCGAACCAAAGAGGGATAGTTACGCAAATTGTGGAATCTTCATGATTATGGACTTTTACACAGTTATTAAGAAGAACGAAGTAGATCTCTATGTGTGGGCAGGGAATAAGGTCCATGGCATACTGCCGAATGAAGGAATCAACCTGCAGAATGGTGTGTACAGTATGATGCACTCGCGTAAATTGTGTGTGTTTATGCGCTTAGCAAAATGTCTAGAAAAGTAGAAGTCAGACTGTGAGGAGTGGTCACGCCAGTCATGTGGCCGGATCGGGGTGGGGAAGGCAAGAAGGAGACGTTGTCTTTTTATTTTATACATAACATCTATGTGGCTTGACTCTTAAAATGGGCATATATTACTTTGGCAATAAAACAAAAAGGTTTTTTCAGCGCTTGCAACAAAAAAGTCGACGTAATTTTAAACCGGTTGGCAGTGTCTCTTGGAAGGAGGCTTCCTCACTCTGGGAGTTGGACTAAATGTGACTTAGTCTCAGGGGAGCTAGAAAAGGCATTACTTCCATTAATTAATGCAGCAGCAGATTCCATCTCGGGAAAGGCTGTCTGAGCGAGGTGCCCGGGGCATCCATTATTTATCTACAAATACCAACTCAGGGCTCTGCTTGTGCCAGGCAGTGAGAGATATCCCTTCTGAGGGTGCTGTGCCGGAGAAGCACAGACAGCTAACAGAGCCACTCTGTCCTCTCGGCACCCATCTCTCCGTGGACGACCCCTGTGCCACTTCCTCGACCCCAGATCCTCCCCTCTCCGGCCCATTTCCCGTGTACTTGGTGCACTCCAGGACCCCCGAAAAAGTCATTCCAGTCCGGACTGAAAAACTCACTCCCACCCCTCATTATGGGCATCTTGAATCAGTCCCTGTGAATCTCTCTCTCCTAGCCTCCTTTCCTTAACGCCAGTGGGGCAACTGGGGACCTGGGAACCATCGTATGTGAGGCCCGCACAGATATAGCTCCTGGTACCAGAGTCGGGTCTCGGTAAGCCGACATAGCAACCTTCCCATTCCCTCTCCTGGCTTCCATTCCGCTTCTGCATCGGTACACCCGTTCTCCAGCGTGGCCCACACCCACCCATTGTCCCCTTTGCCCCCTTTCCGCGCCGCGAGCCCGCCGGTAGCGGTCCGTGGTGCTGACCGCAGGCGCGGCCCGCGCTCGGCCGCTGCGCACGCGTCCCGGGCGGGGCGCGCAGGACCCCGCCGGCGCCGCCACTGCGCAGCCTCCCGCGCGGATCCGGCCTGGCTTGCGCGCGGCGCCGGGAGACTCCCGCGGCCTCGTCTCCCGGCCTGCGCCCCTCGTCCCGCGTCGCCAGCCAGCCCCGCGGCCTCCTCCGGCCGCTTCCTCGGCCCGCCTGGCCCCGCCATGGCGCTCAACAATTTCCTCTTCGCGCAGTGCGTCTGCTACTTCCTGGCCTTTCTGTTCAGCTTCGTGGTGGTGGTGCCGCTGTCCGAGAATGGCCACGACTTCCGCGGCCGCTGCCTGCTCTTCACCGAGGGCATGTGGCTGAGCGCCAACCTGACGGCGCAGGAGGGCGAGCGCTTCACCGTGCAGGAGTGGGGCCCGCCGGCCGCCTGCCGCTTCAGCCTGCTGGCCAGCCTCCTCTCGCTGTTGCTCGCCGCGGCGCACGCCTGGCGCACGCTCTTCTTCCTCTGCAAGGGACACGAGGGGTAAGTGGGGGCCTCGCAGCTGCCCTGCACCGACAGACGCAGCCCTTATCCCTGGCACGGCCCCCCTTCCGTGCCCACAGCGTCCCAGGCTCTCCCTGACAAGGAGGAGGGTGAGTCCCTGCGTCTCCCCATGGTCTCAGAGGCCCGAAAATATCAACCATCGGCCCTCACCACTTCCACGGAAACTGCCCTTTGTCTACACGCAGAACCGAGGGGCCATGGCGTTCTCCGTACCAGGACAGTGCTTCCCTCTCCAAGCGCGCATCACCACCCACACCCCGGGGTGCAAGTGTTGCCTCGTCATCTCGGAACCGATTTGGGCCTCCCTCTCTGGCCCAGCGGGGCCCACGCCCGTCAGCACCGCGGACAGCTCCCAGCCGGGTTTGGCCTGCTCCCAGCTCCGGGTGGAGGGGGAGGGACCAGGCAGGCAGGGGGCCGACCCGGCTAACAGGGGATACTCCCCCGTTCCCAGCCTCCTGGGAAGGAAAGCCGGAGGGAAGCCCTCGAGGCCCACCGCTATGGCACACACCTTGGCTGGGGGATGGGGGAGAGGGAGCAGCAGGTGTGTGGGGCCCCGCTAGCCTCCGCCCCCCTCCCCCCCACCCCGCCTCCATTGTTCTCTTCACCTTGTCCTGTCCTGGCTCTGTTTTGTGAGAGAGTGGGATGTGGGTCCCTGGGCTGGGGTTCTCAGCCAGTAACACTCCCTGGGCCTCTACCCCTGTGGGACCCTGTGTGGCCCGCCCCACCCACGCCCAGGCTGTGGATCCCTGCGCCCTGGAGCGGCCAGGTCTCCCGCAGAGGTCCCGGGAGGCCGCTCCTGCCTGCTGCCTGCCCTCGCATCTACGTGGGAAGTCCACGCCTTCTCCCAAACTCTGCCCCCACCCTCACCCCCATGCATCATATGCTGGTAGCTTTTAGCGGCTTTTCACTTCTTCCGGGGGGCGGGGCTCTGAGGCTGTGAGTGGGCAGGGACTCCTGAGAGCTCTTAGCTTGGCTTTGGCATGGAGAAAGGGGCTGGAGAGAGGAAGGGGGGCTGCAGGTTGAGGAGGAAAGGGACAGCTGAGGCGGGGGGAGAGGGGTGAAATCCAAGCAACCCATGTGTATGAGTTTCCAGGGGCTGCTGTAACAGAGCACCACAAACTGGGGCTTAAGACAATTTATTCTCTTACAGTTCTGGAGGCCAGAAGCCCCAAATTAAGGTGTTGTCAGGGTTGGTTCCCTCTGGGGGGTTAATATTTTCCAGGCCTCTTCCTAGCTCCTGGCGGCCGCTGCAACCCGTGATGTCCCTTGGCTTAGGCCTTTGTCGCTCCAATCTCTGTCTCCCTCTCCACATGGCCTCTTCTGTCTTTCCTTCTTCTCATAAGGATGCTAGTCATTGGATTTGGGGCCCACCCTAAATCCAGGATGACCTCATCCTGAGATCTTTAGCTTGATGACACCCACAAAGACCCTATTTCCAAATAAGGTCACATTCACAGGTACTGGGGGTGCAGATGTGGGCATACGTTGTCAGGGGATGCAATTCAAGCCAGTGCACGAAAGTTCTGCATTCGGGGTCTGCAGAAGCCATGTGTCAGCCCGGGGCGTCCTCCGGGTGCTGTGTGTGGGGTGGGAGCTCTTCCCAGGGTGAGCCCGGGCCAGTCCCGGGGGGCGCCTGCCCTGCTTCTCCTTCCCTCCACCCACACGATGGCTGGTGTCCCGAGGAGGCTTTGAGACACATCTGCACCTGCGGTGCCAAGCCCACGTGGTGCCCGGTCGGAGTCTCCAGTGCAGGTTGGGGCTGGAGAAGCATCTCTGATTACGAGACAGGGTCTGAGGCAGAGGAGGGGCGGTCAGCAGGCGGGGTAGGTTGAGGTCCCTTCAGGCTGGGAAGCTGAGGGCAGTGGGCACAGGCCGGGCGGGGGCCACGGCTTGGTCATCAGCTGACGTCCATGGTTGCAGCTTGTCCCTACAAGACAGGTGGCCTCAAGGCATTCAGGGTCTACCTGGTGAGGATGTGTAAGCAGCTCTCTAGGTGGGTCCCAGCCCCCCGTGGCTCCGAGTGGTGGGAGACTTCAGAGGCACCACCAGAGGCTGGGAGCTAAGAGCCCAGAACCTGCAAGGAAGGAATCCTGGTCACGCAGGACCGCCTGTTTCACACAAGTTGGGCAGCAAACCTAGGAACCTAGGGACAGCTTCTGTCCTTTGTCATCTCATAGAAGGTGTCCATCAGCTCTGTGAAACCATCCCCATCCCCATCTTAAAGACAGAAAACTGAGGCTTGGGAGTGTACATGCCTCCCTGTGCTCTTTCACTGTGCCCGTCCTCTGAGGACAGAGGGAACCTGTGCTCCCATGGAGGTGGCCTGGTTGGAGGAACACTTAGGGTCCTCTGTCCCTTTGCGTCAGTCCTAGGGGCTCATCTGTCCTGCCACCAACGGCCTCGACCATGGCAGCCAAGGCTGGGCCACGCTTCTCTTCTCCAGGGACATCTGTTGCAGAATGTCCTTCTCAGCCATCAGGAATTCCGGCCCAAGGCCACAGGGTTGTCCCGCTGCCTGTTCCCACCCTGTCCACCACGCAAGCCAGTTGGCAGTTGGTCAGCTGTGATGACATCTGTCACAAGTGTCATCCTTTCTTCTTAGTTTGGGTTGTAGGAGCAGGTCAAAACTCTTGTGGATGTCCAGTCCATGGCTATGCACCTGAGGGGACCCTGGGCTGGCTGAACCCAAAGTGCACACATACCTTGTTCACCTCTGTGTGCTCAGGGCTGAGCACGGGGCATGGTGCCCAGGAGTCACCAAATTAGTGATTGTTGAGTGAATGACAGCAAGATTCCTGCCCCTTGAGGTTTGCTGCTTCACAGCCACTCACGGGCCCTGATGCCTTTGCAGACAGTCTGACCAAGGGTTCAGCCCTCTGGGCTCGCTGTGTCAGCCAGGTCTGGACCTGTGGGAAGGCTGGGTCTGCCTCATCCAGCCACGGGCAGGACGGTCAGCTGAGGGCAGCCAATTCCAGCACAGTTGTTGGTCAAGCTGCATAGACCAGGCGAGCAGGTGCTGGGCGGGTACAGGGACGGGCAGGTAGAGAGAGCAGTGTGATGGACGATGGCTCTCAGGGGTGTTGATGGCCACCGGACATCCGGCCCATGAAGGACACCACTGCCCTCCTTAGACTTGGGTTCTTTTGTTTGTTTGTTTTTTTGCGGTACGCGGGCCTCTCACTGTTGTGGCCTCTCCCGTTGCGGAGCACAGGCTCCGGACGCGCAGGCTCAGCGGCCATGGCTCACGGGCACAGCCGCTCCGCAGCATGTGGGATCTTCCCGGACCGGGGCACGAACCCACGTCCCCTGCATCGGCAGGCGGACTCCCAACCACTGCGCCACCAGGGAAGCCCTAGACTTGGGTTTTTAGAGGGCCCTCCCTGTTTAGGGTTTAGTGTGCACCCTAATTCTCCTAAGAGTCCAACCTCAGACCGAGACCCAGGGTGGAACCCTACACTTTGATCTGTGTGAGGGGCTCACGGCTGGGTCTCGAGCTCGTGGTCAGACGCAGTGTCCGTGGTGCCAGTTCCCTCCTCGTGCAGTGTGTCTCTGTGCAAATTGGGGACCCCTGATGGCTTGTGCCCGGGGGTGTGGAGAGTAAGGTGTCGGGGCAGCTTTTTGTACAGGGGGTGTCATCCCGGTTGCTGGCTGGGGGAAGGAGTGAGTGGATCAGTGGCACCTGTGGCTTCCAGGGTCATTGCTGTTTCGGGCCCCTGGCTGAGCTGAGGGTGAGTCTTGGGCCTGGGGGCCGGCAGCTTTGCCGGTCCAGGTTGCAGTGGTTTGTGACTGACGGCTGGGGAGTGCTGGGTTAAAACAGCCCATCTGCCTGCCCACACGTGTCCCTCAGCCTGCAGATCGCTCCCAGGGCTTCCCAGGATAGCTGTCGCCATGGAGATGGCACATCCAGGCGGGGCACCCTGAGAGGCAGGGGGAGAAAGATGAAGTTAACCCTGTGAGTGCTGGGCTCCCGTTCCTGACCGCTGCCCTGGCCTGTCGTTGGGAGGAGGGGGTGGGAGTCGTGTTGTGAACGCTGGGGGGCCGGGGCCAAGGGAGGCTCTCACACACCCGATTCTTCAGAAATCTGTAAAGCCAGAGCACATGCCAAGGAAATGACCAGAAGCCGACGGGAAGGGCAAGAGGAGGCTGCTGGCTGGCAGGACCCCAGCACGGGCCCTTCCCTGTCTCGTGGGATGGAGACCCCAAAACTGTGCCCATTTAATAGGGATGCGGCCGGAGTGTCGGTGGTTTCTGGCTCTCAGAGACTGTGCTGTAAATCGCCCTCAGAGGTGGGAAGGGGCAGCTCTCCGACGGGTCGGCTGTGTCTCAGGCCCGCTGTGCCAGGGGTCCCACGAGGGCACTGCTGTGCACGCGGGGTGAGGGGCCCTCCTGGGCCTCTAGAATTCGGTGCAGGATGGGCTTGGGGCCCCCCCAGCGAGAAGGAGCAGGGTTTGACGCCGGCTGGTCCCCCGCTGGCCTGCCCTCTGCACCCTGGCCGTCCCTCCTCCCACAAGCCCCTCTGCGGACAGGCTTCCTGGGGGGACGGCAGAGGGCTGTCAGCGGACGGAGGGCACCTAGGGAACCGGCCGTCCCAGGGGGCTGGACTTCTGTGCCAAGAGCGGCCTGCTCCTTTGCTCTGCCTGTGGAAGCTCGTCCCTGGCCTCCCTGGGACTGCCATGTTCTCCTTGGCTGGAGCCGAGTGTCCATCCAAGATGGAGATGCCAGGGGCGTAGGCTCTGCGTAACCTCTGCTTTCCTTGGAGCACCAGCTCCTGGGAAGGGGGGCTCCAGTGGGCTGGGCCTTCCCCAACCCCCCAGCCGCACCCAGCCCCACGCTGCCCCACGGGGGGCACAGCTGACCGTGAACCCGTCTCCAAATCTGGTTCCCAAGGGTCACTCAGCAGCTTCTCCATCCCTGCTTCCCGCAACCCATCTTCTGTGGCAACACAGGCCCCAGCCCGAGGGCTCCAGGTGTGCCCCTGGCTTGGGGGTCAGAGGGCAGTGAGCCCGACCCGGCCTGGATGATGGGCTGAGGTCTGTCCTGGGGGGATGAGAGCTCATGAGTCGCCCCGCAGCTACGTGCCCTTTACCCACATAAGCTCCCTCAGTTCCCACCGTAATCTGATGTTACAGAGCAGAAATTGAGGCCCCCAGAGTGCCTTGCAGAGTGAAGGTCGCACAGCTGGCAAAGGGCAGACCGGGCTTGACACTGCCTCTGCTCGGTGACAGCTTTGGTGGGGGATGGGCCATAACGTACCTCTCTTCATAACTATAGGCCCCTGGCCCCTAATTCGAACTCTCAGGGCCAGATGGATTTTGCAGTTCAGAATTGTGTCCATCAGGGTCCCAGGTGGAGATTGATGACCGCCCAAGTGAGGAAAACCTGAAGACTAAGGTGTGGGCCAGGTGTGGGACCCTGTCACCATGCCCGGCCGAGGGGCTGGGCAGGGTTACGTGGATGAGGCCGCCCAGAGGGACAACCTTTGGTGGAGGGACACCGCCAGCCTGAGGCTGACCCCAGGAGGGACCTGGTGATGAACACCCCCCATCCCCACTGTCACGTCCCCCCGGGACCCCATTAGTGGATGCAACCAGGAGCCAGGGAGAGGGTGGCCCCCTCCGTTCGGCCCCCCAGGCGGAGAATGGACGGGACGTGATCTGAAGAGCAGCTGCCCACGATGGTCCAGTTCGGGCAGGAATTATGGTGCCACCCTCACAGGGTGAGACACAGCAGGGCGTGGGCAGCTTGAGACTCAAGCACAGTAAACACACAACCGTGACACTGAGCTGGGCAAGGACCACGGATGCCCGGTGGGTGCAGGGCCAGCCTTTGGAGAATTGCGGATGGGGGGCTGTGGCAGGCGTGGAGCTCCCTGCGCATGGCTCTCACCTTCGTCCCCTTGGCCTGGATCCTGGGTGTGGAGGCCCCACGTGTATGCAGGAGTGCGAGTGCAAACATGGGGCCAGACCCGCAGTCCCGGCCCTTTCAGGTGTGATTGTTGGGGTTTTAGGAACATGCTCGCCCCTCCTCTGACGCTCTTGTCGGGGTGGCTCAAGCCCTCCCAGCCTTGGTACTCAGCAGGGCGGCCCTGGATTGGGCCTGTCGATAGCAGCCCTGAGGGATCTTTCCCTGGGGATGTGGACGGTCCCGGCTGTGACAAAGCAGCCCGGTCATTTGTGCTGTGAGTCGGGCACTGGTGACCTCGGTTTACCATCTGCCCGTTTTTCTGAGGCAGCTCCTGGGCCGGGACTGCGGCATCCATGCTGCACTGTCCTTGGGGCCCAGCACAGGGTGGGTGGAGGCCCAGAAAGCGTCGGACGGGTGGATAAATGAAAGAAACAACAGACGCAGGAGCGGTGCGTCCATCGCTGCTCGGCCTCGGCTGAGTCACCGCGTCCGGTGACGACAGCTTTGATGTTTTCTTGGCTGAAACCCCAGCTGACACCTCGTTTAGTGAATGTTCCCCGTGAAGCCAGATTTGGTCAGTCATTTCCCTCAGATTCAATGTACTGCAAGCACTGATGTCCACATCAGACCTGCAGCAGGTTAGATGTAGGTCTAGGCTGCTGTCCCACGTGGGGGCGTTCCCTCTGCCCACCCCAACCCTGCCGTGGGGCAGCCCTGCGCCCCCTGCCCCCTGTGGCATCAGCTCGGCCGACTGCTCTCCTGCAGGACTCTGGATCTCCAGGGGGTGTTTTGGAGATGGTGGGACGGTGGATGCTTGTGGGCCGGCAGGAGAGTCTAGTGGGCGGGTGTTCCCACCACGTCCCTCCCCCCACCGGCCGTGCCATTGGAGGGCAAACGTCGGCGCCCTCTGAAAGCACCCCAGTGGGAGCCGTGCTCCCATGGACCCTGGACAGGCCCTGACCTCATGGGGCATTGCAGCCTGGCCCTGAGCGAGCTCTGCCCTCTCGGCCCTGCCTCCTGGGTCCCCCAGGTGCCTGCTCTGGTCACCCCTTGGCCTTTCAGGTTTCAGTGGAGAAATCAGAGCAGGGTCACAGACCCCCAGGCAGGTGCAGGCCAGCCGCATTGATGACTGTGTGGGTAAATGGCCTTGGTGGGTGCCCGCGAGGGTGATCCACCTTGAAATGCTGTCTGACCTTTTCAGCATGGGTGCTGGTTCTGATGCTTCGGAACCAGGCGGCCTTGGGTTTGAATGGTGGCCGTGACTCTGCTATAAGACGGTCCCCAGTCCCGGGCTTTGGGAGGATGGGCTGGGCAGTTCTGGCTGGCACGTGGGCCTGTGGGGTGAGGAACGCTGCCGGAGGGGAAGCGACCTCTGGTGGCCCCGCTTGGCCCTACCCCGTCATCTGGGGCCCAGACCCCAGCTGGGAACCCGCGGGTCGGGGGCTGCCTTCCTGCTGCCGCCTGGCCCGCAGGGGTGCTGTGGAGACGGGGGTGGCGCGGTGACCGCCCCTCCCACCCTCGCTGCAGCTCCTTCCTCCACGCCTTTCTGAACCTGCTGGTCAGCGCCTTCGTGGTCTGCCTGGTCTTCATCGCCAGCACCATCGTGAGCGTGGGCTTCAGCATGTGGTGTGATGCTGTCACTGAGAAGGGCACCGTGCCCCACAGGTGCGCCCTGGGCCCCGCCCGCCTTTCCTAGGATGATGGCTTCCTGCACGAACCCCACCCTGAGCCCGCAGCTTTGCTCATCCCGCCTGATCCCCATCCTGTGCACACCTGGCCACCCCTGCCCTGGGGCCCATACCTCCTCCCCAGTTCAGGGAGCCCACAGCAGCTTCACACAATAGCAGGGCCCCACAAACCCTGGGGGTGGATCGGGGTATGGGGGGGTTGGAGGCCCAGGAAGTCGGAGGTTCCGGCTTCCCCGTCATTGCTGGCACGCGGTTGGGTGACAGGACCCCCTAGGGTGGGCTCCAAGTCCCGGAAGGCCCTGGAGAGCCGGCCCTGTGCTGCTGTTGGGGGCAGAGGCCTGGGCCCAGGTGTGGTAATGAGGAGGGTGTGGAATGTAAGCATGGAGGGGGTGGGGACGGTGAGGGGCGGGAGTGGAAGTTTCTGGTCGGAGGGTGTCGGGGACAGAGGCCTTCAGGGCTGGGACGGATGCTCTGGGCCCTGAGCCAGGGGCCATCTCTGGCTTGGGGGCGGCCCACGGTGGAGCATGGTGACTGCCTGACCCCCAGCAAAGGGCTGCCCACTGCCCAGCCCTAAGGGGCATCATCTGGTGCCCCAGGCCGTTCCCCTGGAAAGGCAGGGACCCTGGGGTTACCTCTTCCAGAGACTCCAGATTCTTTCTTTAAGAAAAATCAGATCTGGAACCTTAAAGTATAGAATGGACAGAAGATCCGAAGTGGGCGGGGGCGGGGCGCATCCACCTGCTTACCCTGCACCTTCACCTTGGGGGTCCCCGGGGTGCCTCTGTAGCAGCTTGGGGCACACAACAGAGGAAAGTTCAAGCACCCTGTGTGGGTGACTCTTTTGCGGTCCACACCAGGGCAGCCCCTCTGTGGGCTGGGGTCTTGCCCATGCTGAGCTGTGCCCTGCCTGATGGGCCCCCGGCCACCTGCGTTCTCACCCCACTCCCCCTCGACCCCCCAGAGCCCTCAGAGCATGGGCAGGCCCCTGGGTATGGCCTTGGGCTTCTCTAGAAAGAGTTTCTTTACCCTCACAAACTCCATTTCCAGCCCTTAAACCCCCTTCCAGGGCCTGCCTGGACCTCTGGGCCTCCCTCTTCCAGGCCTCACGCTCCCGTTAACGTGTCCTGCCATCTCGGGATGCTACGGGCCCCTGAGCCCAGGCCTCATTCACTCCAGGCTTCTGAGGCTGGCCTGGCCCAGCCTGTCTACAGACAAGGAGCTTGTACAGGTCACCAGCACGTTGCAGTTTGCCCTGCTATTCCCCGCTGGTTACATTGGCCTGTGCCGCCAGCCCCAGGAGGTGAAGAGTGAGTGGGTCAGGTGGGTGGGGCTGCCCCCATGGATGCCCATGGCGCTTCAGCCGGGCTACTGTGTAGCTCAGTCCGGGGACCAAGGGGCTAGAAGCAGCAGCTCTGCGCCCCTGCTTCTGAGGCCCCTGGCTCTGCAGTGCTGTGGAGCTGTGGGGGCCAAGGCTGGAGTCTCCAGGAGAGTGACAGGCAGCGCTGGTGGCCCCCACTGTCCAGCGCCAGATGGGGGCCGGGCCTGCAGGTTCCCTGCCCCACCCCACCTGTCTGCCCCACCTTGGGGGCAGCCCCTCGCCGTTCGGGGGTGATGCTCTGCTCCCCCCCATGCTTGGTCCCCCAGCAGTCCCCATCCACCCTGCGTCTTGCCATTTTAGCTGCGAAGAGCTCCAGGACATCGATTTGGAACTGAACGTGGACAACTCTGCCTTCTATGATCAGTTCGCGATGGCCCAGGTGGGTGGAGCTGCCCAGGCAGAAGGGAGGCGTGCATTGTCGGGCAGGGGGTCATTCACTGCTGAACATTCACGAGTACACAGCCCACCCCCTCACCCCAGCCGGGGCAGGAAACACACTCGTAGCTAAGGACGGTACCAGGCAGAGGAGATAGAGCTGGGTGAGCACTGGGCTGGGGGAGCAGTCGGGAAGGCTTCCTGGCGGACGGCTGGATCTTGGAGACTGAGAGGATGTTTGCAGGGGGTGGGGAGGGGTGGGCTGTGGGGCATCCTAGGAGGAGGGAACAGCTAGCTTCTGAGCTAACTGCAGAAGCGGGGAGGCCTGGGGAGTGAGGGGGTGGCCCTGTGCTGGGTGGTGCTGGGAAGGAAGCCGGGCGTCATCCTGGGTCTGCAGTGCCGGGCCCGGGAGTCTGGATTCTGGTCCTGGCACCAAGTGGGCCCTCAGATAGACGCTTGAGGGCTAACAGTGGGTCCCCAGAGAGGGATGCCGAGGCAGTGTCTGAGGAAGGGTGTCCCGGGAGGGGGTCCGCCCCTGCATTTGGAGGAGCCCCCCAGCCACTGTCGGGGAGACCCTTCTCCTCCAGTCCTGCCCTTGTATCAGCTTCGTCCCCTACCCTCCAGGAGACCACAGGGCAACTCTGGGGACCCTGTCTGCTGGAACACAGGCATGTCGGGACATGTGGTCAGAGAGGGCCTGTCCCTCAAAATCTGCTTCTGACCCTGACGATGACCCTGATGGCAAGGATGACGGGGCCCCCCGGGCAGGGGGTGGGTCCTTTCAGCACGGGGCAGGGCTCACCAGCCTGCAGGTCCACCTCTGGACCCGCATTGGCCAGTGGCTGGTCTGAGGACTCTTTCTATGGTGAGGAGGCCTGTGGAGGGTGCTGGATGTCGTGTGGGTCCAGCTGAGATGAGCTGAGCCTGCCAGAGACACCTTCACACAAATTTAGTGGGAAATGTTCCAGCCTGAATTTATGGAATTTATGCCGATCAGCTCAAGGAAGGTACAGGCTAAGTCTGAGGACAAACACCCTCAACTGTGTCAGTTTAGTTGCAGCTCGAGGCTGGTTCTGATTAAACTGTTTCCCCTTCAACTGTTTGGAAACAGCAGATAAAGGTCAATTTCTTCCGGCGACTGGAAGAGGCTCCATTACGGATGAAACGAGCTCCCTTGGAGCCGAGCGGCCCCAGCTCCTCGCGTGTCCTGTCGGGGTGCGAGCGTGGGCAGTTCCCAAAGCGTTTGCACAGCTTGGGGGCCGGGAGGGCCGCCAGATGCCGGGGCTGACGTCCCCGTCCTGTCCTGTCCCCACAGCACCTCGTTCCTTCCCCAGCGGGTCTGTCCTTTTCCCGGGGGGTGGGTGGTGGCCACTGGGTCTGGCTGGCCCCCTCACCCCACCCTCTGCCCCCCACAGTTCGGCCTCTGGGCCTCGTGGCTGGCCTGGTTGGCCATCACCATCCTGGCCTTCCTGAAAGTCTACCACAACTACCGCCAGGAGGACCTGCTGGACAAGCTGGTCCACGAGAAGGAGCTGCTGCTGGCCAGGCCGGCCCCCCACGCCTCCTTCCAGGGCGAGAAGAGTGCCATCATCTAGGCCTGGCCCCGGACACCCCGTCCAGGGCACATGGCCTGCCCTGGGGCCGCGGCCGGGGCTCTGCCCGGCCCCCCGCGACTTGCATGCCTCCCCTTGGCACTGCGTGTACTGAGCGACCCCCTCACCAGGCGCCCCGTTCCCAGCCTGAGCCGCGTGTGGACAAGAATCCCACCACCTGCGAGACAGAGGCGAGTGTGGGACGGAGCCGCCCTCTGGCCCCGGGTGGTCCCCACCCAGGGCTGAGTCCACTCTGCTGCGGCTCCTGAGCCCCGGGGTCCAGACTCGTCTCAGCTCAAGAAGCACAGGGACGGGGGGCTGGGCCTGGGGTCAGGTGGTGGCTTCGTGGGTGTCCTGGGGACTTGCCTGGGGAGGCCTGGGGGGCCCCCGTGTGGGCTGGGCCTGGACTTGGGGTCGGAGACATGGATTCCAGATGTGGAGGTGCCATTTCGCAGGGGATCGGGGGCCAGGTGCCACTGTGGTGTGTGTGTGCATGTGAGGCAGGTGAGGGTGTGCGTGTGTGTGTGTGCACATGGGCCTGCATGGCGAGGTCTGAGCGCGCAGGTGGGCGCCCATACACAGGTGTGTGGGAGTGTGCAGGTATGGGTGGAGACCAGAGCGGGCAGCTGTCTGCAACCCCGTCCCCGGGTGCCCCCAGGGCCCCTTGCACCCCAGAGGAGGGGGCTGCCTTCCCAACTCAGGAGGCCTCGAGGGCACGGTCCTGCCCCCTCGGCAGCAGGTGGAGGAGCTGGGAGGGGAACTGGGACCCTGGGGCTCGGTGACAAGCCACCAGGGGGCTGCTTGGCTGTGGCCCCCCCTCCTCTCGGGGCTCCCCGGCTTCCGCATCCTGTCGTCCGTGTCCTGTCCGGGATTGGGGTGCCCGAAGTGTAAGCACGCCCCGCCCCTCCCCTGAGCTTAGTAAATAGTTTCCTGGTGTGGCCCGCGTGCTAGTTTGCCCCCCACCCTCCAGGGGAAGGTGAGCCCCCAGCTCCCCATGTCCATGGCTCTCACCACCAGTGGATGGTTCAGTCTCCCAAAAAGCGGGGCAACGGGGCGTCCAGAGGCCACGGATCTGGGCCTGGGTCAAGGTGCCAGGTGTGGCGGGCAGCCTGGGCCCGGGAGGTGAGGCTGCAGGTCACTTGTCATGACGCTGCTCGGCTGGCACCTTTTGGGAGTGGGGGCTTGGGACCAGGGCGACTGAGGTTCCTGGCATCTCAGATGCTCTGGCCCCGGGCCTGGCTGAGAGTTTTGGGAAGAGCAGCAGGGTCCTTGGGGAGGTGTTTTGACAGAACCTGAGGCCCCCGAGGGGATGCGCCCGCCCTAGTCCACTGGCCGTGGGGACCCTGTCTGGCCCTGGACAGTTTCTGGTCTCCAGCAGAAGGTGGGGTGGCTCTGCCTTGTCCCCCATCAGGTAGCAGCTGTCTGGGCCCTGGAGGGAGGAGCAGGGCCAGGATGTGGGCTTCTGGAGCCTGAGGGTCTGCTGCGGATTTGACACTTGTGGGTGGCCTGGAGCTGGCCTGAGCAGCACCTTGGTCAGGCTAGCAGACACCTGCATGCACTTACAGAGCGGGCCTGTCGCTGACACACTGGTTGGCTGCACCGGCACCCCCAGACCTCCCCACCCTGGGGGCTTCTGGGAAAGGTACAGCTGGCCCCGGGGAGGGGGTACTGGGACAGGAGCCGCGCGCCCTTGCAGTGGGCAGGGGACGGACCCTCCGGGGCTGGACAGGAGGGGTGGCCGTGCCTCTGAGGCTCCTGAGGTGGGTCCACCTGATCGCTTCCATGATGCCTTGCTTCTCCCCGCTGCTGTTTGATAATGGACATCGTGTTTTACTTCCACTTCTGGCTTAATTGAAAGTAAAGATTCTTAAACTTAAATGTATCCATCCATTTCTCAAGTCAAAATAGAAACAAAAATACCTGAGCCTCTAAAGTGGACAAGCAGGAATCTCTTTGCCCGTCTTTTCTCCGCCTCCAGTTTGCCTTTTCTCCATTGTTCTCTCTGCTTTCGATTTAAGACTTAAAGCACTGCACTCCGTGTTTGCTCCTGGAGTTCCCGAAACTTACTAGGAACTGGGAGTTGGTCCCCCTCCCCCACAGTGGCTGTACCCTCACATCCGCACATTTTCTCATGGGTTCCGTTCTCACTGCTTCCTGTCGAGACTTCACGGGTGTGAGGATGGATTTCAAATTTTGGAATTCTTGGGGTTGTCGGGTACGCCTTGAGCAATATTTTTCCGAAAACAATGGGGGTCATGGTCTCTGGGACCCTCCAGGGCTGAGCATGTCTTTGCAATGAACGAACAGCCCTTAGCTGAGTGCAGCGGCCATGAGGAGGGGAGTGCCGCAGCCCAGCCCCTTCTGGGCGGCTCCCCGCCCCACCCCGCCCCCCAGTACCTGCCCCAGGGCTGTGGCACTTGGCTTAACCTGCTTATCCTCTTCAGGGGGCAGGGTGAGATGAGGCTTGGGGTGGGGAGGGCTGGGGGGTGTGTGATGCTGGAGGGTCCCAGAGGGCCAGGGCCCGGAGCCCCGCCGTGGTCCCCCTAGGCCACCGCTCCTGGAGGTGGACCCCTCTCGGCTGGGCTCCCCACTTGGGGCTCCCCAAGTCCTGAAGCCCGAAGGGACCCCGGAGCTACCGCCCCGGTCCCTGAGGCCAGAGGGGACGGCTTGCCCACCTCTGCTTCAGCCACTGGAGTGACTCCCACCGCAAATCAGTCCCCATTTCCCCCCTTTGGGTAAAAGTCCCCAGACTGAAGGAGGTGGCAGTGTGTTTTAATGGAGAATCAGCATCTCCCCACGCAAGCCGTGGGAACAGATACTTAGAGAAGGCCCGCGGGAGGCGCAGCACGGCACCCACGGCTGCGTAGACGCTCGTCTGAAAGTTACGGGGGTGCAGCTTCTCCCCTAGCGGTGCCTCCTGGTGTCTGACCCTGGGCCTCCCTGCTTTGTTCAGGGCCCCGCTCCATGCAGCGTCTGAGGGGACCCTGGGGTCTGTCATCACGTGGCCTCCTTGGCCTGGCAACGGGGCTGAAGGCTCGGCGTCTACACAGTCATGGGACTCCCAGGCCGCGCGGCGCCGGCTGGGACCCTGGCGCAGACGGCTGTGTCCTGAGGGTGGTGGGGTCCTCTCGGCCCCCCGATGTCCTCTCTGCGCCGGCCACACCCCCAGGCCGACGGCTAGGCAAGAGGGGATCCCCAGGCGTTGGGCCCGGTGCAGGTGTCAGACAAGCTGGGGGCTCCGGGGCCATGCCCTGCACGTGGCTGCAGGAGGGAGTACCCCCCACCCCGCAGCCAGCGCCTCTCCCACAGGGGTTTCGGGGTCTGGGCTGCAGGCCCCAAGCAGCAAAAGCCCGGTTTTACCTCCTCCCAGGACTCCCACAGACACAGGGAGGGTGTCCCCGTCCTCGAGGGGCTACACACGGCCACATCCGGGCCGGGCCCAAAGTCACCAAGAGTTCCCGCTGGGGCGAGGGAGGGGCCCGAGGGGTAGCCTGGGGGCTGGAACCTGTGGGTCCCTGAGTTTCAGTGGTGGAATTCTTGTTCCCCTAAAACCTCACAGGGCACCCTAACGTGAAATAGGAGGGGCTGCCTGCCGTATCCAAGGCCGCAGCACCCCACGTCTGATCTCAAGCCGTGGGGCCCGCTTTCCCAGTCACCCTGCCTGCAGCAGCCCCGCTGAGTCCAGGGCTCAGGGCTGTCTGCAAGCCCCCAGCCCCAACCTGGGGCTCTCCCTCTGCAGTGCTGCCCCTGGGCCCGGGGGAGGTGAGCGCCGGCCATCAGAGCTGCAGGAGGTGGCGCCAGCAGGCCAGGGCCACGAGCTGCAGACGCACGCGGAGGGCCAGGAGCCGGGCCCGGAGGTCCTCCAGGGCCAGTGCCACGGGCTCGGCCCGGCTGCAGCACAGCCCCAGCGCCAGCACCAGCAGGATGCACGCCGTCAGCCGCAGGATCAGGGCACCGTCGCGGGGCCTGCGCCGGCCGGGCGCTGGGGCCGAGGGGGACTGGTGAGCCCGGCCCGCGGGCCTGAGCCCCGGCCCCAGTGAGGACCCTTGGGCGCCCGCCTCCCTGCAGAGCTGGTGGGGAGGCTGCGGTGGGCGGGCACGGCTCACCCGGAGGCTGGCACCTCGGTGCTGCCCGTCGGGTGGGCCCCTGTGGCGAGGGTCTCCCTGTCCCTATCTGGGCCTGCGATCTCCTTGCAACAGGGCCTCCCGTAGGCTCTGCCCTCGCACCCTCCCTGGGGAAGGAGTGAGGGGGGCAGACGGTACCCCAGGGGTGCTGCCGCCGACCCGTGACTGTCAGGGGCCCATGGCCCTGCCGGGGTGGGGAGCCCGGCTGGAGCAGTGGGGGATCTGGCCGTGGCCTGGAGCTGGGGCTATGCTGGGCAAGCGTGTGGGCTGGGGCTTTGAGGGATGAGGGCCGAGGGCTCAGAACTTACCCCTGGCCATGGCGGAGGGCTCCCTGCAGGCGATGTCTGGGGAGGAGAATGAGGGTGGGTTCGGGCGGAGCGGGGGGTCACCCCGCTTGGAAGGCTCGCTGCCTCCGCCAGCCAGAGCCCCCGGGGCCCCTCATCTCACCCGCCTACCCTAAGGACCCCAAGACGGGCTGGGTCAGCTAGAGCTTCCCCGCTTTACAGATGGAGACTCAGGTCGCCGTAGGTCCTGACCCGGCCGGCTGTCCATATCCCCCGGCCGGCCAGGCTGCCCGGCACCACCCAGGGTTCTGCCCCAGCCTCACTGATTCAGATTCTAGCTTCCAGGTGCTGGCGCTGCTCTCAGAGCCTTCCGGGGGCCCTGCGGGAGTGTGGGGTGTCCCCTGCAGCAGCCTGGGAGGAGGAGGCTGCAGGGGTCCTGGGGGGCAGCAGGGCCTGGCACTTTGGAGAGGCATGCAGGATCCCCCACCTCCTGTCCATTCCACTTAGCTCACTGGGGGACCCCAGACCAGCCCCGGACTGTCTGGGCCCTGACTCCCCACCTGAGAGTCTGCTTCTGGGGCTGCTGGGAAGCTCTGGAGGCGGGTGCTGAGCTGTGCTCTGGGGGTTGGGGGCTGGACCGGGGAGGGCAGGGTGGGTGAGGACCCCTGCGGGAGGCCCGGACCCGACGTTTAATTACGATGGGCCTTCAAGGGAGACACTGACACACATCGGGGGAGTGAGTTTTATCCGCAACTTGGTGGGACTCAGGGAGCACCTCCCTTGGGGGGCTGTGGAAGCAGAATCTAAGATGCTCCCACGATCCCCCCAGGTCCTCACCTTTGTGTGGTCCCCTCTGCTTAGTGTGGGGGGCTTGTGACTTGCTTCTACCAACAGAACATGGCAAAGGGGCAGGGGTTCTGCAGCTGTGATGGAAATCCCCACAGCGGACTGAGTCAATCAAAGGGAGATTGTCTTGGGTGGGCCTGACCTAATCAGGCGAGCTCTTTATAAAAGAGGGTCATATAAAACAGCTGCAAGGACGCGAATTCTGCAAATAACCCTGTGAGTTTGGAATAGGGTCCCGAGCCTCAGGCGAGGCCCAGCCTTGGCTGACACCCTGATGCCTGCCTTGTTCTTTGCTGCGCCCAGAACCCTGACCCACGGGACCACTGAGATAATCAGCGTGGGTTGCTTGAAGCTGCTATGTTTGTGCTGATTTGTTACGAGGCATAGCTAGCTGATACAAGGGCACTGTCCCACGGGAAGGGCTGGAGAAGGAGTGAGGTAGACTGGGGTGGAGAGGGGGCTCTGGGAGCAGCACCAGGACCCTAGGGACAGGGGGCGGGGAGAATTTGGGAGGTGGGCAGTGAAGGCTGAGGGGGTGGGAGGAGCTGAGGGAAGGAAGAGCGGGTGGGCTCTGGGAACGCCTACCCACTGGCCTTTCTTCAGGAAGACAGTAATGACTTGGGAAGCTCTGGTTCTATTTTTCCTGCCAGTTGCTGTTTCTTTGACCAGCACTCTGTTCAGACCGACCCCGTGGGCCTGGGTTTTATTGGGGTTACACCTGTGAGGGCAGGGCAGTGACTGTGGTCCCTGCGGACAGCCCTCGGTGAGATCCTGGGTGATGTCCCCCCACCCCGCCTGGCCCGCTCGCCTCTTACAGTGGACGGCCACCTCCAGGGGCTCGCGGAACCGCACGTGCCTCGTGGTCCTCCGTGGCTCGGCCCCATGGCTGTGGCGCTCCTGCGGGCTTCGTCTCAGGATAGAGGGGGGGCCCTTCCTGTCGTCCTCCTGGGGGGTGGGAAGCAGAGGGAGGCAGGCAGGAGTGAGCCCCTCCCGCCCAGCCCCCCCGAGGCTGGAAACAGGCAGCCCCAGCGGCATCCCTGCCGTCTCCTCTGGCTTTATGCAGCAGGGACCAGACAGGGGCGTGGAGACCCTCTGCGGACCTGCCCCAGCCCCAGCCTGGCCGTCTGACCCCCTAGGGCTGCTGCCAAGTGGTCAGGGCTGGGACAAAGCCACCGGGACTGGTCACGACTGGATGGCCGTGTTAGCGGGGACGGGTGCGGTCCGTGATCACGCAGGCCTGTGTCTCCCGCCCTGGCTCTGCCCCCACCCATCCCGACAGGGTCTGGCATCACTTCTCCATGTCAGTAACAGTGACAGCGGTTGTGGCTGGCATCCCCCGAGGACTGACTGCCTTCACGTCTGAGCTGTACACACGGAACCTCCCTGCGCCCCGGGGGGCTCTGCCTGGTGGCCTCCTCTGTCCAGGGGAGGCCCTGCCCGAGCTCAGCGCCCTGTGACTGCCCAGCAGCACCACCCGGAGCCCGCCGTGGGACAGCTCTCGCCGCACACTGGGCCGCGGTCGCTCACCTGTGAACGAGGGGAGGTGTCTGAGCAGGGGACCACTGGCCCAGGGCGGGGGGAAGAGCCTGGACACAGCCCGCCCAGGGGCCGCCCTCCCACCCAC